TTTTTTTTTTCAAAAATTTTTTGTATACCCCAAACCTATCATCTCATACATAATAAAGTGATCATTAATACTTACTCATTGATCAATTGATGGATTGGTTAACAGAAGACTATCAACTGCATAATTAAGTAGAATGTAATATAACTGAGAGCAGAGATTGATTCTTTGCATCAATATACTTAACCTAAGTATATGACACATAATATGAGGTTAATAACTACATGTTGATTGAATAATAATAGTGTTGTTTCCATTAGCTCTCTTTCAATAGAGCCTTCTCAGTTGTGTCCTTTACTGACTTAAGGAAAGTCATTAAGTTTGTGCCACCTGTCCCTTTCTCTTGATTATCCGATGATTTCTTCTTTTTTGCATTGTCTTGTTTATTTGATTGAATTATGATGTACTTGAACACCACTCCAAGGTGATATCTCCTGAGTTCAACTAGAGCTTTTATACATTCATTATAGTACTTCTTCAGGTTAATATCATCACTGGAGATGATGAAATCTCTAACAGATGGGCCAGAAGTAAGTGCCTCAAGAAAGTCCTTATGCGATGATGGCATGTAGTCCCTCATTTCCTCGAGGAATTTAGCACTGCTTTTCTCTGAAAGAAGAGGAAAAATTAGGGCATTAAGGAGACACTGATGAGAAGAATGAGGATGGGGATGGAGGATGGGGAATGAAAGAGTGATCACTGATATTTATCAGTAGGATAAGGATTATGTACCTGCCAATGGTAGTGGGACAGCTGGGTGCTAGATTATGTCTTATAATTATCCATAATTACAATAAGCTCGATGTTGATTTACACTTAAAAGTTTATAAAATATTTTCCTCATAACAAAGCTGTACATTAAATAAGGCAATGATTACTATCCCACTTTGCAGAGGAGGAAACTGAGGCACAGAGAAATGAAGCACTGGAGTTAGAGTCAGAAGCCCTGTCTCTGTCACCTGCTGACAACTATAATAGCTTAAGCACATAGATTCACCTCTTTGAGACTCTTCTGCTTCATCTGTAAAATGGGCATACTTAGTCTCATACTGCCTACCTCATAAGATTGTCATGCACAATATTCCTTGTAAACATTAAAGCAGAATTGGAATTGGATTTACTAATATGTTTTGTTATTGTCATCATTATTAATGAGAGTTATTAGTGGATAGTTCTGTGTATGTTAAGCCCTGGAAAAATAGATGCTGATGAGAAAAGATAAGAGTCTCCCAACCTGCTCTGAGGTTGGGTCTTCTCCATAGGCTACTGTAACCAAACATCTCCCACATGGGTCTTTGGATCTTGGCTTCCCTCAACTTCTTTCTCATAGTCCTGCTATCTGACCATATATAATAGAAACACATTTCTTTATGAAGCTGATTTACAAGTCATCATAAGTCCCATTTCTCTGAAGCACTTTCCTTACAACAGCTCAAGGAAATAGGCAGTACTTCAAGTATCCTTGTCTGTTTCTACTGCACCATATTACTAGGTTCATTTGAATCTCAAATGCCAATCAGAACCCCAACTTACCCTCTGCACTGCTGTGTTGGATCCCCAGCAGGGCATCAAAACACTGTATGATACTGCTTTGGGCAGCACTTCCCCCAGAGAACATCTTGGGTGTCTCCCACACCCCTTCATACACCAGGCCATTTGGCAACAGTGGGTTATTCTTCCAGCTAAACCAAAATAGAGACAAAGATATATTTATGTTTGTCAGAGAAAAGCTTTTACCTTCATTAATTTTCCAAAATCAAAATTTTATAGGTATGGAACTAAAGGGTAGGGAGAATAAGTAATTCTATTAGCTTTTTGTTTGATTTTTGATCACGGACCCTCCCTATCCCCCAACCAAATCAATCCCTTATGAAAACAGTGGTTTTGGTATCACAGACCTAAGCGAATTTGATAGCTATTATAAGAGAAAGTCATAATCAGTATCTTAAGTATTTTGACTGTACTGTGAGATTGACAATACAATTATCATTATCCACAATTTTACATATGAGGACACTGAAGCTAAGAGAAGTAATTTGTCCAATGTCACATCAGGCAATGAGTATCAGAGTCAAAACTCACACTCAGTGCTCTTTCCACTACGCCATATTATACTCTTTCTAGAAATGGATCTCTGTCTTATAAATCAGAATTAATCATTTTGTGACTTCTAAATAACAGCTCCCAAACCCAACCAAGAAGCAGGGGCTAGAGCAATAACTTTCAAATAGCTCCATGCTATCTCTAACATATTAAATAAAAAGGTGAGGTTGTTGGGAGCTCATGATAGTGAGTTATCAGTGGGCTACTGGAATTAGATTCTTGGCTTTCTATAGGTGGAGGCTTCTTTGTTCAGAGGAAGCAGTGAAAGTAGGGGATCACATACCCAGATAAGTAGATGCGGAGAGTACCGAAGAAGTCACTGGGCTTCACGTATTCTGTTGAAAGATTGAGCCAGAAGGAAAGGTGATGAACTGTCTTATTGACATTAAAAAAAAGAGCAGTCCATGTCCTGTCATCATTGTACTTTGCAAGACCTTCAGAATAAATTCTCCATTGGCTATGAGAGCAAGCTCCCTAGCTAAAGGACTCTTAGTCTAACTTCACACAGGAAATCTTCTACCCATCAGCCTTTGATCTTTGCACCATCCTCCAGGCTCTTCTCTACCACCTCAGCAATAGCCCTTCACCCTCAGAAGAGTGTGCCTCAAATTTTCCATTTTTAAAACTAGTAACATCTCTTTGGATATCATATGGTGTTCTGTTTCTCTCAACCCTCTGTTCTTATCCTTGACAAAAAAAGGAAGACTTGTGGATTCCAAACTGAAGCCCCCTATGATCAAAGCAGAAGAGAGAAGCAGGAACCCCACTATGTCATCACATCTGGCTTACTGTTAGCTTTTTATTTGTTTGTTTTCTTTGAAATCTAAGACCCTGAACTCCAATTAATTATCTTCTCTTTATAAATTTCCTCCTTGGGTAACATCAGCTCTATTCATGACATCTAGCCCCAGCAACTACTTGCTGGATGGCTCTACCAGGTTGTCTAGTAAGGAGGTCAAACTCAATGTGTCTGAAACTGAACTTTTAAATTCACCCTCACTTCTACCCTCCCCAATAAAAAGAGAAAGAGAGAAGAAGAAGAAGAAGAAGAAGAAGAAGAAGAAGAAGAAGAAGAAGAAGAAGAAGAAGAAGAAGAAGAAGAAGAAGAAGAAGAAGAAAAGGAAGGAAGGCAAGAAGGAAGGCAGGCAGGAAGGAAGGGAAGGGAAGGGAAGGGAAGGGAAGGGAAGGGAAGGGAAGGGAAGGGAAGGGAAGGGAAGGGAAGGGAAGGGAAGGGAAGGGAAGGGAAGGGAAGGGAAGGGAAGGGAAGGAAAAAAAGAAATTTGGCACCCTTTTTCTAACTTCTCTATAGTCTATTGAAAGCATTACCAGTCACTCAGGCTTCAATCCCAGTCCTCTTGTACTCCTCTGTCCTTTAGACCTGGAATCCAAACTGGTGCCATGCCTAGTCAATTATATTTCTGAAATCTCTTTCTAACTGCCCCCCCACCTTCTCCCCCCATACACACACACACACACACACACACACACACATACCACACAAATACATATTTTTTTTCCATTTCCACAATTTAAATTCAGTCCTTTATCATCTCTTCCCTAGACTACTTGGAATAGTCTCATAATCATTCTTCCCGCTTCTAGCCTCTCTGTGTTTCTAGTCATCCTTTACACCATTGCCCAAGCAATCTTCTCATTGCACTATTCTTCTATGCAGAACCACCCATGACCCTTCATTGTCTACCAAACAAAATAAGAACTCATTGGTATAGATTTCATTGCTATAGAAAGTAGCTCCCCAATCTGTTCCCAGACTATATATCTTGCTTTTCTTTCTTTCTTTCTTTCTTTCTTTCTTTCTTTCTTTCTTTCTTTCTTTCTTTCTTTCTTTCTTTCTTTCTTTCTTTCTTTCTTTCTTTCTTTCTTACTTTTTGGTGGGGCCATCAGGATTAAATGACTTGCCCAGGGTCACACAGCTATTAAGTGTCAAGTGCCTGAGGCCAGATTTGAACTCAAGTCTTCCTGACTCCAAGGCCAGAGCTCTATCCATTGTGCCACCTGCTTGCCCCAAGACTATACATCCTGAACAGGATTTTCTGTTCACATACTTTAAGTGTTTTCGTCTATCAGCAAATCCATCCCAGGATCTTAGCATGTGGCCTTTAACACAATGAATGTTTATCATTTTTTTGAAAATCAAATTGAATTTCTCTGTAATCTCTGCATAGGAATTAAAGTTATTTTTGATACATGTTTTTACCTGGGGTTAGCAATTATACTTATCGCTCAGTGTTTGAAGCCATTGAACATGAGACCTCCAAGAGCCTTTGGATATAATCTCAGATGACTATCTCTTTTGGCAGATGAAAAACCTGAATTGCTCAAGATCATCTGGTGAGTTGATGCAAGAACAGCTGCTAAAGTTTAGGTTTCTTACATCTTAGTCTAACTCAGCTAAGACAATCTTCAACTATCTATTGATAGTAATTCTTATCATTAGAAGTTTTAAACTTATAGTCTCTACTAATGCACTGAATACACTACATACTGTGAACAAGGTGGAACACTTCAATTGCTTCACGAACAGAAGAGGCCACAGTATGGAGACTTTCTTTCAGGGACTCCACATTCTTATTTTTGATTGCTTCAAAAATATCTGGAATTACCTTACAGGAAAACAAAGCAAATACAGTCAGAGTCTCCTAAACCTGCAAAAACTCATGATTCTCCATTCCAAAAGTATATGTCATATTCTAATTTTTCTTCCTCTTCTTGTATTTTTACAAAATGCGCCAAATAATCTGACCACCTTCCATTTTGTTCATGCAATCTTATTTGTAAAGTCATCTGTTATTAGTCTGTATTTTTATGAATTTGCAATTTAGATCATTTTATTGTTCAGAACTGGCTTCTTGATTTCTTGTTTTTTTCTTGTCCTCCAGTTGCCTTCATTAATGCTCAGGACTTCAAACAACAATCTGCCCAATGGAAAGAGAACACTCGGTAACTGGACTATAAGTACAGTAGAACTTCCAAGTAGCAACTTAAGAATACATGGGTGAAAAAAATGTCCTAAATCACTATGATTAGAGAAATTTAAATTAAAGCAACTCTGAGGTACTACCTCAAATCTATCAGATTGGCTAATGTGACAGAAAAGGAAATAATAAATACTGAAGAGGATGTAGAAAAATAAGGACACTAATGCACTGTTGGTAGAGTTGCGAACTGATGTAACTACTCTGGAGAACAATTTGGAACTATGCCCAAGGGGCTATAAAACTGTACATACCCTTTCACTCAGCAATACCACTACAGGGTCTGTATCCCAAACAGATCAAAGAAAAAGAGAAAAAATGTATATGTACCAAAATATTTACAGGAGCTCTTTCTATGATGGCAAAGAATTGGAAATTGAGGGGATGCCATCAATAAGGGAATGACTGAACAGGTTGTGATATAAGATTGTGATGGAATATTATTGTGGTATAAGAAATGATAAGCAGAATGGTTTCAGAAAAACCTGGGAAGACTTATATGAACTGATGCAAAGTGAAGTGAGCAGAACCAGAACATTGCATACATTAACAACAATATTTCAAGGATGATTAGCTATGAAAGACTTAGCTACTCTGATCAAGACAATGATCCAAGACAATTCCAAAGGACCCATGATGAAAAATGTTATCAACATCCAGAGAGAGAAGTAATGAATTCTGAGTGCAGATTGAGGCATATTTTTTCACTTTCTTTACCTTTCTTGCTTTATTTTGCAACATTGCTAATATGGAAATATCTTTTGTGAGACTTCACATGTATAATTGATATCATATTTCTTGTTTTCTCATGGAGGAAAAGAGGCAAGAAGGAGGGAGAGAATTTGGAACTCAAAATTTAAAAAAATGAATGTTAAAAATAAATAAAATTTTTAAAAGGAAGAAAGGGAGTAAAATCCCATTCAATATAACTACAGAATGTCTAAAATGTCTGGGAGTCTAGTTACAATAATACACAGAGGAATAGTATGAATACAATTATAAAACACTTTGCAGAAATAAAGACAATTTGAGATTTAAAAAAAGAATACATAGGCTTGTCATTATAACATGGTACTGGTCATCATGTGTTAAATCTTACTCACCAAAGCACATCAAAACATTCCTCAAACTCTGCTCAAGAAATACAGACTCCGTAATTTTGGGGTCATTCAAGGATCCAATAAACTCAGGCTATCAAATTAAAAAGACTAAAGGAACTACACCAATAAATTCCAAATTTAGTGAGAGTAATGGATGGTTGGGTTAAGTATTGCAGTGTTATTCACAATATATTAAAACACAAAGAAGAAGCCCTCCCACACACTGAGAAGACCCTCTATGGAGAATTTGTAGGAGGACAGGAGTACCAATCCCAAAAGAGTAGAAGGCATCTGAAGGTTGTAACCCATATTAATAGAGGCACCACCCACTCACAGATGGAACATTCACATTAATTAGACCATCAGCCCTGGAATCAGCAAATTGAAGGTAATGTTTAAAGATATTTGATGTTTAGATTTCAGCGATGTGAATCCTCCCCATGCTGATGCAGATCTCAGCCTCCCCAGCCTGAGTAGCAGCAGCTGAAAAACCAACCTGGTCAAACAACCATCCGGTGATCAGCCACTTTGCCCTTGCAGGCATTGGATCCCACCCAACAGATCACAATGACAGATCACAAAGCATTGGCGAGCCTTTTCTTGAAACCTCTCCAGCTTGGTATGATCTGCCAGTGTTTGCCCTCTGCTGGCAAAAGTAATCTTTGACAACCCAAGTTCTCCACACCATGATGTGACTTTGGAGTAGGACTTCGGAGGACGTGGCTACAGGTATTCAATTTGTCACATGACTCTATTATCTATGTGATATAAGATACAAATCTCATATAGACAAGCATACCCTGATTGCTGAAGCAGCTGCTTTTTCAACCAGTAAAGAAACTAGGAAGAATCCTTTGCTGCAATCCCCACCAGGAAATGCAAATAGAGTGTCCATGTTGCTAAGAACAAGATGAAATCCCAAAGTTAATATAATAATGTATAATATCACAGAGTAAGAACTAGAAAGGAATTAGAGGTCATCTGTTTCAATCCTATCATTTTGTAGATAATGAAACTGGGCTTCAGAAAGGTTAAAAATACTTGTCTATGGTCTCAAAGTTGGTAAAGTGTTAAAGGCAAGATCTGAACCTATGTTTTTATGTATCCAAGCCCAGCACTCTATCCACTATGATTGCCTTAATCAGGTCTATATATCTATATCTATGTCAAGAAGTGAACATTTATAGACCAATTCTATAACTAAATATATATATATAGATATATATAGATATATATATATATAATATATATCTATGTCAAGAAGTGAACATTTATAGACCAATTCTATAACTAAATATATATATATATATATATATATCTATGTCAAGAAGTGAACATTTATAGACCAATTCTATAACTAAATATATATATATATATATATATATATATATATATATATATGTAGTAATAACATCTACCTAGAGATGTAAACATTGTTAAAAAGGAAACATTCTTTATAGAGATTTAACTACACACACAAAAAAATAACAACTCATGCAGTCAAAAGAGATCTATTTACCATCCTACTATATTCTCAGTCTAAACAAGTGGTGGGAGTTGACTTGTACTTGCCATGTCTAGTCATTTGAAAAAGTTGCTGTGCATGTGTATTGTATGCATGTGTGGTTCCACCCTAAGTTCACACCCATTTGAAACAATTACTTAAAAACAATACTTACTCATAAGTCATAGGCCTTATGGAAGCATCCAAGGAATAAAAGATAACAAAAGAGGAGAAAAAACAATTATTACTTCCAAATGCTTTAGAGTTTCAACTAATGTTATTACTATCCCCCCAGTGTTCTTTGGCCCTTTTATATTCTGCACTTGTGCCTGTGCCAAGGTCAATGCAATTTTGGTTCCATCTTAGCACCACTTCCTAGTCAGGAATATTCCTAGACAAAAAGAGGAGGTCTGATCCTCCGACTTTGGATTTCCATTGATCACTGCTGCTCATATCTTATGTTGTGAAGATTAAAATTGGAGGGCACATACCATTCCCACTACCTGGAATGGATTCCCCCATCCCTACATACCAGAAGTCTACTACATTTCTACATTTACCCTCCATTCCTAATCCACTCATACTACTGTTTATGTGAAGTTAAGGCTATACTTCTTTCTCCTTTTTCTCTTTAATTTTCTGCTCACACAAAAGTCCCATGCTAGTTGTCACCTCTCCCATGAAGCCTTCCTTGATCCCTGTAACTATAAGTAATACACCTCTCCTCAAATTCAATTTAATTCAATTCCTTACTTATTTAGTTCCTGAGATGTGTAGTACCTTAGACTTAGCAATATATAGGAAGAAATAGGGTAGAGATGTTCCCTCCTCAAGAAGCTTACAACCTAATAGAAGAGATAAATTGTACAAAAAAGAAGCACTATGCATCATAAATATGATGCATGATAGAATGTGGGAAGGGCAAAACCTAGTTTACTTAATTATGTCCTTATGTATATTACAGTTGCTTATGTCCATGTCTTTTTTTCCTCACCTAGATTGTAATCTCCTTGAGGACAGGAATTTAAAAATTTTATGTTTCCATCCCCAAATATAAGGTCTTGTACATAGAAATTATTATTACACCCCAAGGAAACAGGGTCAGAGTTACAGCTGGGAAGAAGCAGAGGCATCTGAGATGAGAAGATAGAGACTGTATAGTAGCTAATCCTATATTAAGGTTATATACATTTAATGATCCTAAGTAGGAGGCATCCTGGATGTGGTTCTTAACATAGCATGTGACTTCACACAAACATAGCTTCTAGAATTGGAAAGACAATGATCCCCCCGTCCTCTGCTATATTCAGAACTAATCTAAAATATGGTGTTCAGTTCTAGGACTCTAATTTTTTGAAGGACGTTAACAAGGGACAACATCCAGAGGAGAGCAAAAGAAATAAAATGGGGACTGAAAACCATATCATGGAATTGATTGAAGGTAATAGAGATGCTTAAGCAGAAGAGGAAAATAATAAGGTAGAGATGGATAGATAACTGTATTCTGATATTTGAAGGATTTTCATATAAAAATAATTCTAACTTCTTTTTTCCTTCCATTCTTCTCTTTTCCTTCCTTCCTTTCCTTCCTTCCTTCTTTCCTTCCTTTTTTCCTTCCTTTTTTCTTCCTTCCTTCCTTTTTCTTTCTTTCTTTCTTTCTTTCTTTCTTTCTTTCTTTCTTTCTTTCTTTCTTTCTTTCTTTCTTTCTTTCTTTCTTTCTTTCTTTCTTTCTTTCTTTCTTTCTTTCTTTCTTGGTTTAGTCCTAGAGGGCAGAAATGCAAACACAGCAGTTACAGGGAGGCAGATTTCAGCTCCATATAAGGAAAAACTTAACATGTAGAGCTGTCTAGCATTGGAATGGGCTGCCTGAGGAGGTAACAAGTGCTCTATTATGGAAGTCTCTAAGCAAAAGCTTTACGACCTCTTATACAGGATATTGTACAGCTAGGTCCTAATTAGTGTGAACAAGAAATCCTGTGAAGTGGTAGCTTTACTCAATTCACATTAAATATTCCCTTTGGGCTGGAATCAATTACCAACATTACATTGTAATTGTAATCTTGAATAGAGTGAATTCAAATATATAGGGCCATTTCAGGGCTTTGTTGTTCACGTTAATGGAGATTTAATTGTAGTAGAAATTCTTTCATCAGGAATAAGTTGGACTAGAATCAGGGGTAGGGAACTTGAAGCCTCAAGGCCACATGTGGTCTTCTAGGTCCTTGGGTCCTAAGTCCTTTTGACTGAGTCCAAGTTTTACAGAACAAATCCTTTTATTAAAGGGATTTGTTCTGTCAGGTTTGGCTTCAGTCAAAGGGCTGCACTTGAGGACCTAGAGGGCCACATGTGGCCTTGAGGCTGCAGGTTCCCCACCCCTGGACTAGATCATTTCAGACATCTCTTCCAAGTCTGAACTTCTATGCCCATGTTCCTTGGTTCAGTCACTTCTTAGAATCTCAGGTTCCATGTCTGTAAAATAAAGGCTTTATGCTACAT